GCGCAGGCAGCATTTGATCGCTCCACATCAATCATCAGGTCCTCCACTTCATTCTGCAGCCTCTGCTTTGTCTTTTCCAGAGAAGCACATTTGGCATTCACAGCTTCAACGTGTTCCTCTGCATCTTGCAGGCGCTGTGCCAGCTTCTTCCTGGGAGGTGGTAAGCACAGCTTGTGGTTTGAGAGCAAAGGGGAGTGTGTGGTGTGTGGCTGATGGGCCTTTCACAACAGGACGTTTTACCCATTCATTGAGTATGTATCCTACGCACAGACAGTAAAGACCCTCTCCCAGCCAGTCATTTATCTTCCTATTTTCTTTCCCCATGGTCTGGCTATCTCCTCTGCGCACACTATACATTGTCTTTCTCCTGCATTCTTTGTCATGTAGTCTATTTCCCTTGTGTTTTTCAAAACCACACCCTTTAAAGTACATATTTCTGTTTCATATAACTCCTCCTCGACCTACTACAAGGCTTTTGCCTTTCAGTGTCTCAGTGGTCTCTTCAAAATTTCATCATTGGTTTCTGCCAGCCTTCCCCACATTCCCCACATACTTGGCCTCCTCCAGCTCCTCCGTGCGCTGAATAGCGTCTGTCTCATATTTGGTTCTCCACTGGGCCACTTCAGTGTTGGCCTTGGACAGGGCACGCTGCAGCTCACTCTTGGCTTCCTGCTCCTCCTCATATTGTTCCCGGAGCAAGTCACAGTCGTGGCGAGCGGACTGCAAGCCATGGGCCAGGGCATTCTTGGCCTAGTGGTAAAAGGATTGCAATAAGGAATAGATATATCCTGGGAAATTTTGTCTTACTGGCACTTAGACACTGGAATATATCCCAGAGAAATAGTAATTAACTGACTGCATGAAAAAAATAAAAGCCAAGGTCAGGTATACTGCAAAAAGTTGGGACTCCTGCCCTGACGGGGCCTAGATTGCATGACCTAAAGGGATGTTTTGAACTTTTAATTAAATCACCTTTTGAACTATTGAACACCACACCAAAAACAATATGATGTAAAGTATTTATTTCATATGTACAACGAAATATCTTCACCTTTATCTCTTCCTCTAGTTGTCGCTTCAATTCTTCAATCTGCTGGGTGAAAGCCTGTTTCCCTCTAGACAGCTGAGAAATTAAAGCATCTTTTTCATCCACCTGACGTGCATATTCACCTGGGAAAGTTTGTAATTAAGAAAATATTTTAACAGCCAAGAGAGTCATGCAGGGGGTTCACTCATTTCCAAACTAGAGATGGAAGTGCCATACCAGATTCTGTCTGCAGACGAGCTCTTTGAGCACTGAGATCGCTAATCATGCGCTGATTCTGCTCCTCCTTTGTTTTATATTCACTTAGTTGGTCTTCCAGAGTGCGGCACATCTTCTCCAGATTTGCCTAGGTGTCAAGCACACATAAGAAAATAGAGTTAATACTTCGATTCTGCCTTAGTTACAGCAGGAAAATGTGTCTAGAAGATGCAGTTTACATATCTGGGGAGTATGTGCATACACCCACAGTTCTATATGTTAGATTTGGAGATAACAGTTATATTATAACCTGATAACAATTAAATAAGATAAGATTAAACAAGAATATTTAATTGTTCTCAAATTACTAATAAAAGTATTTTTGTACCTTGGCTTTGGAGACAGACTCCATGTTACTGGCCAAGTCATCAATCTCCATCTTCAGCTCACTCTTCTCCTTCTCCAGCTTCTGCTTCACTCGCTGCAGGTTGTCGATCTGCTCCCCAAGCTCAGCTGTGCTGTCCGCGTGCTTCTTCCGCAGGGCGGCAGCTGTGGCTTCGTGCTGCAGCGTGGCCTCTTCGAGGTCACGGCGCATCTTCTGAAATTCTGCCTCACGCTTCTTGTTCATCTCAATCTGAGCTGCGGTAGCCCCTCCTGCTTCTTCCAGGCGCTCGCTGATCTCCTCTAGCTCCCTCGAGAGGTCAGCCCGATGCTTCTCTGCTTTTGCCCGAGAGGTTCGCTCTGCCTCAATTTCCTCCTCCAGTTCCTCAATACGAGCCTGGGGAACATTAGGGGACCCTTCACACCCATGCCCTCTTCCTACCTGACCTGAGACTGGGTGAGAGAGGGGAAGGAACAAAGACTTGCCTGCAGCTCCTTGATCTTCTTCTGTAATTGCATGCCCAGAAGTTGCTCATCCTCAATTTTGCTCTGGATCTGGCTGATTTCAAAGTCTTTCCTTTGGGCAAAGCAAACCATGTCAGAGCTCAAAGCAAAAAGACAGGTGCACCAGCCCAGCACTCAGGTGCCCCACAGCCCCACTTACTTCTTCAGCTTCTCATCCAGCTGCTGCTTATCATTTTCCAAATCCATTATGCTGTCATGGGCCAGCTTCAGGTCTCCTTCGAGTTTCCTCTTAGCTCTCTCAAGGTCCATGCGCAGTTTCTTCTCTTGCTCCAGGGACCCTTCCAGCTAAAACAAACAAGACCATCAGTGCTCCGTCAGCCAGGTTTAACTCCATACCTGTCCTGTTCTTGAGGTACGCCTGTGTGCTTACATCATCCACTTGCTGCTCCAGCTTGGTCTTAGCTTTGGTCAGCGTATTGACTTTGTCCTCTTCTGCCTGCAGGTCATCCAGTGTCTGCTGATGGGCCTCTTGGAGGGCTTTCTTCTCTTTTGTCAGCTTCACAATGGTCTCATCCAGGGCTGCCATCTCCTCTGTGAGGTTTTTCACCTTTGAAAAGAAGGGAACACATGCAGATAAAAAATGATGTTTAAAACTTTATACTGTATAACAAAACAGAGGTCTTTTCTGTGAGAGTGACATCTTCTGCCTCATACTTTGTTTTCGGTGGCATGTTTTTCCTTCTCAACCTTGGCCAGTGTTAACTCAAGATCGTCAATATCTTTCTTCAGCTCTGAACATTCATCCTCCAATTTCCTCTTCTTGGCTGTCAGCTCAGCATTAATTTCTTCCTCATCCTCAGCCCTTTCAGTCACCTCTTTAACTTTGGCTTCCAGCTGAATTTTGGTTTTGATGAGCTGGTCACACCTTTCCTCAGCATCAGCCAAAGCATCAGCTTCCTGGTGGAAAAAATACCATTTTTAGGGATATGTTTTTGAGGTAATATCAAGATGCTTACCTTCACAGTTTAGAGTCCTGGATAGCAATTTTGTAGTTAAAAATTTGGTTTATGTTCCAACAGAACAAAATATAATATAGAATTTATTTTATATTGTTCATTTTGAAACAGCTAGTTTTGAAAGCTAAAACCGAATAAAATTCCTTCAATCTACATGAAGGCCCAGTTATTTACATATTTGTGCAAGGTATAGAATCCAATATCATCCCATAATATCAAACATTAGAACAAAGTACATAAATTGGGGTTTACTCATAGGAATATCTCCCACATTTATGAAGTGCCAAGTGATAACTATATGCCAAGATACATATAAATACCAAAGTCACAGTTATGCTCACATCATTCCTGTATGTCTCTTTTTTCACCCTACTGTCTTTCTGAAGCAACAGTTTCTGATTTAGTTTTCATCACCATGGCCCCAAAATATTCAGCATCTAGCAGCTTTGTCTTTTCTCTGTCAGACCCTCATCGGCTAAGAAGAAAGGAAGTTGCTGGAAAATTCATCTCTAGGCTTTTTTTGCAACAGACGTCCTGTTGTATTTGTTATATTTTGTCTCAAGTTTCAGTCTAGCAGAAATAATATGAAAGCAATATGATGATTTTAGCAGTGAGTGGATTTTTTTAATCTTTTTACAGTTCAAGATTCTTTTAAAAGGGGGGCATGTAAATTTTCTTACATGTCACATATGCTGCATAGTATTACTTTGAGAATACAGTCTTTTCTATTTTGTGAATGACTTAATTTAGAAACCTCAGCATTACAACACCGTAGGTGTACCACATAATTTTTTTGTAATGATTGTAAGTGATTTAGGAGGGTGATTGAGAATATTAAATTCTGTTTCCTCTCAATTAGTTCAGTATTACAATATAGCAATGTTTGTAACAGCTAAGCCACCACCTACACCAAAAAGAAACAAGTTATCTTGTTTAATTAGAGAATAAAGAGAGGAGAGAAACGTCCTATTCACTTGTCCTAAGAATTCCTAATCATGTGTGTATAAGGATAGGCACACTCAGTTTTGGAGCAGTAGGAAAAAATTACTAGAAGAACAAACATTATACTAATAAAAGTAAAGTTTCTTGATTGCTCTGATGCACTTTAACTGAATGTATATGGTAGAGACCTCAGCATGTACCATAGAAAATCTCACCCATGAAATAGCTTGACTACAAACTCCTGACAGTCCTTATTGAAGCTAGTTATATTTTTAAGAGCACCACTTAATGAAATACAGTTGAACTGAATTAAATTGCAGTTTCAATGTGTCTTTTGAAAATGTAGTCATAAATATCAGCCCAATAGTCACAGTTCAGTTAGGATGAGGCACAATGGTAGTACTCACAGCCTGCACTTGGAGCTGCAGATCGTTTTTCTCCTGCACCAGTTTCACCATTTTCTCCTCCAGCTCCTTCCTCTTTGCCTCAGACTTCGCAAGCTCTTCTTTGATTTTCTCAAACTCTTGTTTCATGTTGGCCATTTCCTTCTCAGATTCTGCACTCTTCAGCAAGGGCTTGATCTTGAAGAACAGCTTCATCCAGGGCCAGTGCTTGACGTTCATGAATGCACGAATATTGTACTGGATGCAAAAGATGGACTCTCTGAAAGGTAAGTCAAATTAATATTAAGTATTTCGACCATGATGACACAATAAGCCATATACAGTGAACCTAATTTGAAGAAATGTCTACCTCCTCTCCACCATTCTTTGGTATTCCATTCTCATCAGGAAGCCCCTGCACCTGGCTTGTGTGCGGGTGATGAGCTGTGCCAGCTTCTCATCCCTCATCTCTTCCAAGAGGCCTATCAGCCCAGCTTTGAAGAACACCTTAGGTAAGAACATGAAAATAGGTGCAGTGTATATGCTTGTTGTTCAGCGTGGCCCAGTACCCTGTCCCCCATGGCAGATAATATGAGAAGTTAAGAGAAAGAGCAAAAGCACAAAGAATGTATGTAGTGATAGATCTTCTTTTACATCTCCAAGCTTCCAGTTACCTGCAGTTGACGAACTATAATAGCCAGACATTTTGCCTTTGTTTTTATTAAACTTTGATTCTTTTACTCTACAACTTTGTCTTAAATTAGGAACCCTTAATCAAATCATCCTATGGCAATGAATTTCAGTTTTATTCAAATGTTGAGTCAATAAGTACTTATTTGATTTATTTTAAATACACTATTTGATAATTTCACATACTATCTGGAGAATCTGAGTATCATTCTCAAGCCATGCAAAACAAAAATACATAGTACTTGAAACAAACCGTTCTTGTACCTTGGTGTGACCAAATTTGTATTGAGTGTGGTCTATATCAATTGATCCAAGAAGTTTCTCACAAGCCTTCTTGCTGTCAATGAACTGTCCCTCTGGGATAGCACTTGCATTTAATACTTTGTATCTGGGGGAGAAAACAGAAGAACTTGCATTGAACTCGATGATCTTAAGAGTCTTTTCCAACCTAAATGATTCTATGATTCTATGAATATAAAGAGGTCTGTTGTTGGGACCAATTGGCTGGTACACTGCAAGATAGAGTCTAAGAACTGTTGAGAACATAAAAGCACTACTAAACACAAATTTTAGAGAAGGCTTTAGTCACCAGAGGTGAAACTTAAATTTCACAAGCTACTCAAGATGGACAAAATGATCCAGTAAGAGGAAGAAGTCTGACCTCTGTTTAAAATCTGCATACAGGACTCTGTTGGGAAATCCTTTCCTGCAAATTCTGATCCCTTCCAGCACGCCATTACACCGCAGCTGGTGAAGCACCAGTTCATGCTCCATGGCACCTAGCAATTCAGAGCACAAATATAATATATGCTATATTCTGTAATACAGAGGGGAAGACCTGCACCATACTGAAAAAACTTCTATGTATGAGTCTCTTACCAGGTGTTTTCGTTTCGTTTGGGATGATGCAGCGTACAAAATGGGGGTGGGTGCTTCTCAGATTGGTCATCAGCTTGTTTAAATTCTCCTGGGAGAATCATTAACAAAAGTTTATATTAGCAAATGTAATTTCCACTGTAAGCATCAAGTCCTCTGAAATGAGATGAGATATCAGACAAAAATTAGCTCACAGAATCCTAACCTGAAGCCCCCTGCATCAGTTTTTCTGACTTTCCACAGATCTTTGCTGTTATTAACTTCATTTATAAAGTTCTTCTGATTAATCTGTAGGAAATACTATACTCTTAAACATACAATTTTTTTACATTTCACTGACTCTACTGGAATGCCTTAATTAGAAATTATATCCATCTTCCATTGGATGTACCCAGAGAGATAAACAGGTACCTCTATGAGGCAGTTTGAACCATACTGCTGTAGGCATTTAAGATAGGTCATATGGAGCACACTACATAGAACCTTCCTGTTTTCCCCACTGAAAGCAAATGAAACAAAAATGACAAGATGAGTTTTAAATGTCTAGATTACATGTTTATCTTGTAAGGTAAGATGAGAATAAGGTGAGATGAATCCCAGCCTTGTTTTCTAATTAATATCTGTATACTTATTTATAAATAATTATTGCCTATAATTAGTGGAGGGAAGCAGTTGCCTCCAGAGAACATCTCAGAGTATGTAAATTAAGCAGCCAAAACATTAGGATGTCTAAACACTAACATGTCTAAACTAGAGGGATACTGGAAGAAATTTAAAAACATAACAGAAATGCAACCCAAATGAAGCAAATAGTATTTCTCCTATAACATTACCTCTTAAAGTCTTATGACCTTTAAACATAGACTTACTGCATTATTTTTGAATCATACATGCTGGCAATAATTTCCCACTTGCAAGGCCAAGGCACTACAGCTATGATTATTTTTCTTGGGGCACATACACACGTGCCAACGCCCTGTTTCAGAGCACTGGCTAGAGGCTGTCAGGTGATCAAGAATCATATGACAGCAGATCTGTAGAAGAAATTAGGCTATATCAAGAAGAGAGTCCTAAATGAGGGATGAATATGGTAATAAATAACCTCAGGAGAGACTGGCAGAAGTGTATGGAGCAGCCAGGCAGCAAGGCTTGGTTATGACTAAGAACTGTCAAGTATCTGACATCTTAAAAATCCATAACCCAAGGAGTGGTGGTATTTCAACTGTAAAAGATTGATCCCTGAATCATGGAGAAAAACTACAAATATAAATGGAGCAAACAGGTCATCCTCCAGTAGGCAGAATGTTGATAAAGGGAAATAAAAGGTTCCAAAGCCAGAGGTGGGCATCTGAAGGAAATCTGGTATATTTTAGATACATTTTAGAAGTTTTCTGTATGGCATTCTTCTGTCTGGAAACATCCTGGGACAAGCGGACAAAAAGAAAAGTTGTGCATTCAGTGGAATGGAGCATAAATAGATCACAGTGGATTTAGTTTTAACAAAATATGGCCCAAGAAATTCAGGGTCTTTTAACAAAACTAAGCCAAAAAAAAGACTAGCCATTTTAAATTGTGGGTTTATTCCTCATCTTAGGAAGAAATACTGTGGCCAGCAGGAACAGGGAGGTGGTTGTTCCCCTGTACTCAGCACTGGTGAGGCCGCACCTCGAGTACTGTGTTCAGTTTTGGGCCCCTCACTACAGGAAAGACATTGAGTTGCTGGAGCGTGTTCAGAGAAGGGCAACCAAGTTGGTGAGGGGCCTGGAGCACAAGTCTTATCAGGAGCAGCTGAGAGAACTGGGGCTGTTTAGTCTAGAAAAGAGGAAGCTGAGGGGAGACCTTATTGCTCTCTACAACTACCTGAAAGGGGGTTGTAGTGAGGTGGGTGCTGGTCTCTTCTGTCAGGTGGCTGGAGATAGGACAAGAGGAAATGGCCTCAAGTTGAGGCAAGGGAGATTTAGGTTAGATATTAGGAAAAATTTTTTTACTGGGAAGGTTGTCAAACATTGGAATGGGCTGCCCAGGGAAGTGGTTGAGTCACGATCCCTGGAGATATTCAAAAAGCGAGTGGACAATGTACTACAGGACATGGTTTAGTGGGCATGGTTAATGGTTGGACTCAATGATCTTGAAGGTCTTTTCCAACCTAAATGATTCTATGATTCTAAGAAATAGTGAACTCTCTACTGTACCCGGAAAAGAGCTGAGACAGTCTGGAAGGAAGAACCCTTCTTCTTGCCACCTTTCTTTCCAGCACTGGCCTCTACAAAATTGAAAATAAATAAAACAGGTTTTAGATTTTTGCTACTGCCTTTTATGATTCCTTTTTGTAAGCTGTACGTCACTGAAAATATGGAATTCATAGAACTAACCCGCTTCTGCTCCACCATAGTTGGCAAAGAGTAAGGCCAGTGTCTTCAGGGATGATTTCTGGTACAACCCAATGACAGTTTCATTCAGGGGGTCCTTGTTTTTCTCCAGCCAGCCAGTGATGTTGTAGTCTACTGTGCCAGCATAGTGTATCAGGGCGAAGTGGGCCTCAGCCTTGCCTTTGACAGGCTTGGGCTTCTGGAAGTTGCTGGACTTGCCCAGGTGCTGGTCATAGAGCTTGTTCTTGAAAGAGGTGTCAGTTGCCTTGGGGAACATGCACTCCTCTTCCAGGATGGAGAAGATGCCCATGGGCTGGAAGAAATGTACAAGGAAGACAGATTGTAATTTAGTTTTCAGGGCAATAATGACCTTCATCTAGGCAGGGTAGTGGAACACAGACTGAGCTACACATCAAAAAAGATTATTATTCAATTACATTTTCTGCTAGAAAGTATGATTAAACATATTCATACTTACATTTTTTAACACCAAATGAATTATAAAGATTAATGGAAATTAATTTAGTTTGTCTTGAGAACTTCCTTTATAAAATCAGAGCACTACCTTTTTATCCAGAAGGACTCAAAGCACACACAGATGTCTCAGAAAAATTGAACATGAGCCAACAGTACACCCTTGCGGCAAAGGCAGCCAGCTCATCCTGGGCTGCATTAAGTATTGCCAGCAGCTCAAGGGAAACGATCCTTCCACTCTACTCTGCTCTGCTGAGAAACTGCTGTGTCCAGTTCTTGGTTTCGCAGTACAAGACAAACGTGGACATAGTAGAGTGAACACTGTGACAGGCCATGAAGGTATTTCAGTGACTGGAACATCCAACATACAAGGACAAGCTGAGAGAGATGGGACTGTTCAGCCTGGAAAAGAGAAGGCTCTGGGGGATCTTATCAATATGTATAAATACCTAATGGAAGGGGATAAAGGAGACAGAGCTAGCGGTTTCTCAGTGGTGTCCAGTGACAGGATAAGATGGAACAGGCATGAATTGAAATACACAAAATTCCATTTAAACAGAATAAAAAAATCTTCTTTGCTGTGAGCGTGGTCAAAAGTTGGAAAGGTTCCCCAGTGTATCTGTGGAGTCTCCACCCTTGGAGATATTAAAAATCCAACTGGACATGGTCCTGAGCAACCCCCTCTAGCTGACTCTGTCTTGACCAAGGGGGTTGGACTAAGTGATATCCAGACCTACCTTCAAACCTCAGCAGTTCTGTGATTCTGTGATTCTAACTACTTATCATCCTGCAAGCCACTGAATCTTCCATCTCATGTGCAGCGTGACTGCCTTCTCATTGTCAGACAAAGGATGACCATGTTAAGTGCGACTGTGTGCTAACAGTTATGTATGTCCATCTTCTATGTTAATTTTACAAAGATATAGCGATTCTGCTGTACAAGCACAAGTCTGTTAGAGGTGAAAGGTGAGGAGGACATGCTGACCTGGAAATTGACTCCAGCTGTTTTGGAAGAACACTCTTATTGGGAGTTTAACAATCTTTTGGCACTTGAAAAGAGATCAGTAAGGATTTGCTGCCACAAAGCTGTGTGAAATCTCTTTCATGTCTCACTTGACAGAAGAAATAAATTACATGGCAAGGTATTTTGAATAACAAAAGATGAATATTTGGACATGAACACAGAAGATCCCTTTGAAAAATGAGACCAAGTAATTACAGAATTTCTGAATAGGAAGGATACCTTCTCAATGAGCTCAATGCAGGCAGCCAGGTCCATCCCAAAGTCAATGAATGTCCATTCAATTCCTTCTTTCTTGTACTCCTCCTGCTCCAGCACGAACATGTGGTGGTTGAAGAACTGCTGCAGTTTCTCATTGGTGAAGTTGATGCACAGCTGCTCAAAGCTGTTAAACTGGAAATAAAATAAGAAAGACCCATATTTGCAAGATGCAGCAATAATTGCAAAACCTCATACTTTAAAAATAAGGAATGCAGTTATCTTGGCTTCGTTGTCAAGTCTATGCCTTTCTTCAGTCTGCTTTATGTCTATGTTACGAAACAGAGCAATGCATCAAATTAATTGTCCACAAGGAATTTTTTTTTTCATTGATAAAAACGTGAAGATAAAATAAATTTCCTGCATAATTTGAGACCAAATTACAGGGAGAAAAAACTCAAGCTTAGGCCTATCATGATAAACATGGTTTAATACTGTCTTGTCCTTGATCATTTAAACCAAGGAATATTTCTGATTGTACCATTCTGTACTTTTGAGTTCGCACATCTTGAAATAAGATGAGTCCTTTGAAAGGTCTTTTTTTTTACTTCATGATAAAAAAAGGCAAATAGCTGCAAATAATTATGTGATGATATAACATCTTCTTTAAAAATATGTCTCAGAGTGATCATAACATCCAATTGTCACTTCCAAATAGCTCTTACCAAATCATTGTTACTTACATCAAAGATCTCAAAGCCAGCAATGTCCAGGACACCAATAAAGTACTGTCTAGGCTGCTTCGTATCCAGCTGTTGATTGATACGAACAACCATCCACAAGAACATCCTCTCATAGACAGCCTTTGCTAAAGCACCTACAGCATTGTGCACCTACAAGAAAAATAAATGCCTGGAGTTACCATACAGGGCAGACGAGAATCAAAAGGATCTTAATTCAAAACATGGTTCCAGGTTGCCACAGATTCTTACCTGCTGTGCAGTTTGACCCTTGGTCACATATTCATTCCCAACCTTGACTCGGGGGTAGCACAGTGCCTTGAGCATGTCAGCTGAATTCAGACCCATAAGGTAGGCAGCCTTGTCAGCCACTAAAGAGGGAGTGGAAGAAGGAAGAATTTAGCATCACATAGACTTTGAATCCTGGAGCATTCTCTAAAGGCTGCAGGGTTCAGATTTCTGTTCTTTGAAATCTTTCGATAGACTCCCATAGAGGGAATTTTGGTAACATCCAAGTCATCATTATGCATATCGAGCTTTTCTAAAAGAATTTATGTTTTAAATTCTTCACTGAAACATGTAGAAAGTATGATATTTTTCAGAAATCTCCTGGCACAAAATTGAAAGCTGCAGCTTGCCAGTCTGAATATTTGTAGTACACGCATAACTCAGGACCTGCAGTGACAATAGTCAGGTACTGATCTACATTCAGGTGATCAAAAACACCCAATATTTAGGGTGGAACACAGAAAGGATATCTGTTCTCTTTCAGATCCAGAGTCTACAACCCTTTCTGAGCTTTGGTTTCTGACGTTCAGTAAAACTCACTGGGTTTCATTCTTTTACCTATGGTACTTCCCACCTTCTGCCTTGTCCTTTAGCAAGAGGAGCCATTGCTCAGAGACCTGAAGATGTGGGTTGTAGGTCCTGCGCCAACAAAGGAGAGGAATCAAATACATCTCTCATACCAGAGTTCCCTGAGCATCTGACAGGTGATGGTGCATGGGAGCATGGTCCCCCCATCCTGTTAGAGCCAAACCACTTGGCTGTTTCACAATTGCAAGCTATATTCCAACAAAGGTATAACTAATAATGTTACAGAAAGGACATCCATCGCTCCTGACTTCCTGGAAGTGTATAAAGGACAGTTTAAACTATTAATTGTTTATAGCATGAGATAGAAATATTCTGAGTTCAGGGAACTTGATGTACAGAGGACAAGGAACAGGTTTTTTTCTGGCTTATTGTTTTCCTTAGGATCCTAAAGTCCAACAAAGAATAACTTCTGCTGTCTTCCACATCCATAGTGGCTTACAGAACGGTTAATTATTGAGTTTGATAATACCTTCTGTTCCATCTGGCTCTGCCTGCTCCTCTCTTGGCTTCTGCTTGAACTTCAAGTTCCCATAGTGCATGACAGCCCCTGTCAGCTTGTAGATAGCAGTCTTCTCATCAGCAGTGAAGCCCAGGATGTCAATGGCACTCTGGTAATACAATCAGCAAAGTGAAATATTTGCTTGTTATGTGATGTATGATCTGTGCCTGTTGACCTGTTCTGTAAGTTACTTACATCTGTAGCCATCAGCTCCTCCTTGTCATCAATGCTGGGAACAGTAATCTCACCTTGACTCACAAAAGGGTAGTCATATGGGTTGGTGGTGATGAGGAGCATTTCTGAAAACAAATGGGTTCGTGGGTTAAATTTCACTGGTTTTGTAATTTAGTTAAATGTTGCTCATTCATCTTCTTCCAAAAAGCTCAGTGATCCCTCCTACCAATTAGCTCTGGCTTCTTGTTGGACGTGATTTGATAAAATATGTGGTAGCTTCTTTCTGCCTTGAGCTGGAAAGTGACTCTGGACTTCTCCAGCAGATCTGGAAAGGAAGGTAGAAAGAGTTAGGCACAGGAAGGCACACGGAAGTGGGTCTTTAGGAAGGAATGGGATCAGGCCAGGAGAGTCTCTTACAAGTTTCAATGTCAGCAGAAGCCAGTTTGCCTGTAGCTCCAAAGTGGATTCTGATGAATTTGCCCTGTTAAGGAGAAGCAGCAGCATTTCAGCCTGGATGGGTTCTTTTGACATCTCCTTTATGTGGAATACTGCCAGGGCCATCACTTATCTTGTAATGAGAGGGAGAGATTTTGTCCAAAGCCACAACTTACAAAGCGTGAGGAGTTGTCATTCCTCACGGTCTTGGCATTTCCAAAGGCCTCCAGCAGTGGGTTGGCGCTGATGATTTGATCCTCAAGCGTTCCCTGCAGGATGATAATTATTGCTGGTTATCCTTTCCAAAAATCATGTCAGGAACAGAGGAAAACATTGATTCAGGCTAGTATCTATTAATTAATTATTTCATTCTCAAGTGTTCCCTACAGGATGGTAATTATTCAGTTACAGTGTTTAGCTGACATGGCAATTACCTGCCAAGTGTTCAGTCTGTTCTTCTTGACTCACCTGCATTTTGCCTGACTGCTCCTCCTTCTTCTTCTCCCCACTCGCTGCAATTGTTGCAAAGTACTGGATGACACGCTTTGTGTTCACAGTCTTCCCTGCACCAGATTCTCCACTGTCAAACCAAAGACAGAAGCAGAGAGCGTGTGGTCAGGCAGGAGGTCCCCTGGCATGGGGCAGCCCAGCGGGGACCCGAGCAGGGAGTGTACGTACGTGATCAGGATCGACTGGTTCTCGCGATCTGTGAAGGAGGCAGAAACAAAGAGATGATTAGTATGTGTCATGGATATCCTGGATAAAAATATTCCTGGGACTTTTAGAAGATGCACTATCTGTAGGCAGCTCCTTCCTTTCATAAAGCTGTGTGCCTTCACCCCAATTCCTTTTGAACGTTTTAAAGTTGGGAAACCGACATGTCAACACTGGTGTGGATGTCAGGTGTAGTATACGTGCTTCTTTTTCTGCCTATTCTCTTCATGTCAAGCTGCTCATCTTCTTTATGAAAAGGATTCCAACTAAGCAGTATTTTTGTAGAGTTACTGATTAATTGAACTATCTGTAAGCTAAAGTGAACGGAGCAGGTGCTTCTCATAAACTTTATAACATAGGAACAACCACTCCTGACCAGTCCATGGGCCCTCCTAGATGTTTTTTTCTGTCAGTGGCCAATTGATTGTTGCCTAAAGAAAAATCACAAAAACATCATAAGCATGTAGTAGCCTTTTACCAGCATACTTTCCAATACTCTAGAATATTGAAAATTTGGTACTTCCAGAGCTAGATGAGATGGTTTTGTGTGTAATGGCCTGGGCTGAGTTTGCTTTCCAGAATTTTTTCTGGTTCTTTTTCAATCCATGCTCGGTTCTTTCTGTGTTGCTTCAACTTCTATCACCCAGTCTGCTCTTTTTTTGAACCAGTTATGGTGTGAAGGAAAAAAAAAATGCAGCTAGTGTTGAGCTTGTTTTTTTGTCTGCTCTTTCCTTGTCCATTCATCTTCTCCATGCCATGGATAATTTTATTACGTAGCACAAATCATTTGTCTAGAGTTACCTGAGCAGATGTCCTGCCATATCTTTCAGAAACCTTTTCATCTTTGTCTTGACCTGTTCCATTTCTACTGTATTCTGTTTTGAAAAAGGCAGTGCAGAAATGCATCCAGTACACAAGGTGCAGGCATTCCTTGGGTAACCACCATGATATAATGATATTTTCTCTTTCGGTCTCTATTTCTTGGTCAGTGATCTCAACTTGTTATTTTGTAGATTTCTGATCGCTGAGCCAAAATTTTTGAAGCTGTACTAAAGGATATCTATAACAGAAGCAGTAGTTGTCAGCAATGAGCCCATCTTTTGGGTTTTTTTCCTATGTCCATTGTTTTACATTCTTGCTGACCAAACTTTGTTGCCACATCACTGAATAATAATTCGATCATTTAATGTCATAAAGTCCCTCTGAAATTCTTCACTGTTAGACTTCATCTTTACTGGCCTAAAGGACTTAGTCAAATCAGAAAGATTGTCAACATTTCCAGATCATTTAAAAAAATGTTGAACAGCAGAAGTCCCAGAACAGATCCCAGTGAGACTTCATTGATAAAATCTTGGCACTATGAAAACTGAAAAAAAAAAATTTTTACCATGTCTTCCTTTTTCTTACCCAGTTCTTTTTGAACCTTCTCAGTTCTATAGCTGGTAGTGAATGTAAGCGTAAAAATTATGTCAAGAATAGCTGCTTTATCAACTCTATTGAAGATCTTTGTTGAATTCATATGGGTTACCTTGACCAGCTCTCCTTTGTTAAAAAAAAAAACAGTAGTTTTGTAAGGCAAGACTTCCCTTTAAAATAAATGCATCTTTTTTTCTTGGTAAGTCACATATATTCGCATGCCCAGCAGCTGCCTTGTTTAGAAATTGCTGGCAGTTTGCCTTTTACAAAAATCAAGCTTACTGTTATGCTGTTCCTTAAAACTCCCTCACAACCCTTTTAAAAAGTTAGAGTAACACTTGCCGTTTTCCAGGCAATTGTCAGTGAGAATTTTTGACCTGTAGAGTTCCACTGGCATGCCTGGTTGAATTCTGTCCTGGCAATTTGCTAGTGTTTATTTTATTGTTGGTTTTCTTTAAGGACACTTCATTCAGAAGAAGTTCCTCTGATGAATCCCACTGTAAGGAGGAGTTCCAGAAATGAGTACTTCCCACACTGCTTTAAGGTAAACAAATGAAAATCTCATTTACTTGTTCTGATATGACCTTATATTTTCCAAGTTGTCTTTTTAAATTTTGACTGTGTCAGTACAGACTCCACAGACTCATCTTAAGCCCTTCTGCTCCTTATGTGTAAGAAATAAGCATAAGTTTTTATGCATGCTGCAAGTTGTTCTCAAACCTGTAATTTTGCATGCCTTCTTGTGTTTTCACAGTTAACTAGCCAGAGTTATGTTTTGGAGAAAGTCTATGTGTGTTTAATAACCCACCTTAACAGGCTGTGTAGCTGGACTGGCTTGCAGAGAAAGTGCTTTTTGCCAGATGATTTACATTTGTTCTAGGCCTCTAGGATGGTATTTTCCAATAATCTGCATGCTATCTGAAGAGACTAAGCCATTAGGTAACTAACTCCTAGCGGAAAAGTCTGGGTTTGCCTTCACCAAGTTCCTGCACATCTCTTGAAGGTGTCAGCAAGGGTAAATGTATGATGACTTAGGTAAATACTGCCAGGATAAGACACAGTAAACAAACATCAATCTGTTATTGTTCCATTTTCATAGTATTCTCTTCCAATCAACTTTCTTACCGCTCTGAATACTACAGAAATAAGAGAGGGGGGAACAAGATTTACTTTAAGAAATTAAACTATGCCTCTCTTTGTTTAATATTTTTCTGACTAATCTGCTCTTTCTTGAAAGTCTGGAGATTTAGACAATGCTAGAAAAGTTTTCACTATCCTTCTTCCTTATTGGTTCCATTTATATTAATGAATGGAAAAGAAGAAATTGTTTCTGAGATGGGGGGAGGAAGTATCAATTTTCCCAGCAGGTTTCACTGTAGTGTCTAAGACTGCTTCCTGAGTCTTTGTAAAACCACCATAGGAAGCATTGGCTTTGATGTTGAATCTCCTTTCCCTTTACACCCAATCTTGTTTACAGAACTCCACCCTAGTGACTTTCAGTCCTGCAAAGCAAATCATTCAAAGAACAATCCTCTCAGCTAACAAAGCACCAGAACTTCAAAAGTTTATCCAAATTTCTTTGAAGGAAAATCTGACAATGTATTCAGCATTAAACCGTATCCTCCCAAAGATCTTGGACAGTAAATTCTAATGTTGACTGTTAGAAACATGATCTCAGTGATGGTATCCAGTGAAGAAAATAATTCCGGTGATGAGAGGACTTCCGTCCTCCCAACACCATTAAACTGAACTATTTTGCAGTGAAAAGACTTCTTTTCTCCTCTGTGAGTGTTCACAGCCAAATAATTTTAAAGAAAACCAAGCAACTCACCATTTAACATGAACTGATAGGCATTGTCAGAGATGGAGAAGATGTGTGGAGGGGCCTCCTGGCGCTTCTTGCCTCGGTAGGCCAACACCACCTCCGGGTTGTACACCGGCAGCCACTTGTAGGGGTTGACAGTGACGCAGAAGAGACCCGAGTAGGTCTGCGAGGAAGGGAGACAGCACGTTGGCTTCCACTTAGCCTGGCAGAGCAGTTCCTCCTAGCTACCCAGAGGAAGACTGCTGCTGCTACTTACGTAGATCATCCAGGCTGCATAACGCTCTTTGAGGTTGTACAGCACAGCGGGTTCATGGAGGTGGGTCATCATGGCCATGTCCTCGACTTTATCATACTTGGGAGGGTTCATGGGGAAGACCTGATCATCCTTCACATTCAGAGTCTGCCAAGGAAACAAAAGATCCATGTATGTCAGCTAAAAGCTTAGAGTGGGAATCAAATGGTGTCCTTCAGCCTTGTTTTTCACTCACCTCTCCACCTTCAGTCTTGACAGTGACCTTCCCTGATTCCTTGCTCTGGATTGTCCCTTTCACAAAGGATTCTTTAGGATGGGCCACAAAGACGGATGTCTTGGCATCAAAAGGCTTGTTCTGGGCTGCAATTCTTTCCTTCTCTGACTTTCGGAGATAGGGAGCGGCCTCTCCAAAGACAGCCATCTCAGAGTCTGCAGAAGTCATGTCTGCACTTTACTGAAGGTACGTCAGCAGAGGGCTCTAATGGGAAGGAACAATATGGTACTGATTATTTACATCTATTCTATTCTGTAAGATTGGGAAAAATTTTATACCCTATGACTTGGTTTGTCTTCATACTCTGAGTATTTGGAACATCGAACACGAGCTAACTAGACACTTAATTTTTAGGTCAACTTAGAAAATAAGAGGTTTTCACTGATGTAGTCTAGGTCTTCAAACGTTTAGGAGGGCAACTTTTAATGACCTTTCAGAACTGTGGGTTTGGTGCTTTAAGACTACTGTGTCTGTAAGATAAGAGTGAATTTGCTGAGCAAGTTTCACTAAGATCACTATTAAGAATGGAAATACAGTTAGGACATTTTGTTAAAAGGATGAACAGTGAAGTAACATGTCTGAAAAACAGTAGTTTAGGTGACCTACAGTCTTGGAAAACACTGAACCTGTGGGACATTTACCTATTAAATATAATGGTAACAGAAAGGCAGTGGGAAACTCATGAATTTTGGCAATGAAGTTGTCAACTGAAAGAAAAGGGAAGGCTTTGTGACCTTTTAATATTCTGCCATAATTTAATTTGTTGTATGCATTTGTTATTCTTCAGTACAATATCTAAATAATTTCAGCCCCAAAGTTCTGACTTGGGTGAAATAAAATCCAAGCATTGAAATTGGAATTGCCAAGCCTGTATTAAGATCCCAAATAAATACCTACTGAAAAACATCTAGGAACAGATGAGTTCTCAAAACTTTAAAAAAATAAGAGTATTTCTTCAGATGCTTTATTAAACCTGTAGGTAGCTGAATTTTGCCAACTGCACTTGAAAATGCTCTAGCTACATTGGTAAAAGTTATTCCCTCTTTATTCATTAGGTAATAAATATTTTTTTGTCTGGAGTAAGAAAATGGATATCTAAGACAGCTGTCATTTTACAAAGGTGGTTAGAAGGTCTGTATGCTCAGATGATTTATTAATTCATACATTCTCAGGTAAAATGCAGAATTTTGCACTTTTTCCTGCTGTGCTCATCTTGGTCCAGTTCTACTGCTGCCATAGCAAAGATAGGAAGCCAGCATGCCTTGATCTCTGTTAGGTCAGTTAAGCAGAATTGAAGAATTTCCCCATGGGCATTTTCTGGTCTGCCGTCAGTGGTCAGAGACTTCAAACACAGCCAGTTTAAAACCTTGGGCACCCCACCATGTTCTACTGTAATCACACTAGGTTTGATTATAGGGTGAAACAGTGACCCTTCCAGAAATCCCACCCAAAAGAATCTTTCTCTGCCCTCTAAGAATTAATAAATCAGGTTCTTACCTCTCGAGACACCAGATGGGTGGCTTGCAGGCTGGCAGCTGGTCAGTACTGTAAAACAGAAATGGCAACTTCCTACTTGTTGTTGCACAGAAATCCAGAGTGAAAATGTGCAGGTGCCTTGAAAGCAGATTTAAAACCTGAGTTAAGAAATTGAGTCCCCTCCTGGAAATGAGCAGGAGGCAGCAGGAATGCTGTGGCACATAAGGGCACCATCCTCTTCCTGCAAGCCTGCAGACCCCATACACTTACCTTGAAGCTTTCCGTGGAGACAGGGCAGACTTGTCACAGGGACATTTTATACGATCTAGTCTGCAAGATGCTACAGATGCCTGCTCTTTCTTCGGTCAAAAAATTTTTGGCAAACCTTCTTTGGCAAAGCATTGTCTGGCAAACTGAACTAAGGGCATAATTGTCATTTGACATGACTAGATATAATTAGAAAATTTTGATGTCTTACTGACTATATGAATACATCTCCTATAAACAATCTGACAAGGGTGTTAAGGAGGGAATCTAGACTAGTCAAGGCACTTAGAGAACTTGGATGCAGGACTTATGGATTCTATTGCTGGCTTTCCCACCGACTCACTGTATGACCCAGGGTGGATTGCTTGGTATGTCTGCACTGCAGATATCCCAGCTGTACAATAGATAAAACAGGATGTTAAAAGATAAATTAGCATTATTAAAAGCTTTTGGCAGTTGTGATGGTAAAATCCTGAAAGTAGAAGTGCAGATGTATAACAGTTCATGAGGGTTGCAAGCACAGCAGGGTGGTCAGCCAAACACCGCAGCAGTGAGAGGGTTCTACCTGGGCTTCTGACAGAGATGTAAGGCACCTTTAGGGATATCAGGAAGAGTGTGCACATGCACGCGCACACACACACACAGAGGCATGTGCACGTGTGCCTCTCTGTATACACTTCAGATTGCAAACAAGTAGGAGATTTTCCAAGAAATGTTGTGATCCTGTGCACAATCTTTTTCAATGGGAGGGGTTATACCTGCTGAGACTTCTGATCTGTAGGTCAGTGCCAGTGAGCAAGAGATGTTCCCTTCTTTTGCTGGCAACTTCTTAGCTTATCCAGGTGTTCCTATGCCTATAACCCTAGGAAAGATTACTCTGATCTAGGAATGGCTCCCAGAGTTTTTCTTCCTACCTACAACTGATAGAAAAATCCTCTAGTCAGCCATACCTATACAAATAATTGGACATATGCACAAACACATCACCTCAGCATGCTGTCCCAGATGCTCTGCACCTGATACATCCTCAGTCCAACACTTCATCACAAATATCTTGCATACTTACACATTTACACAGTTCAAAAAAACACAGTGATACCTTTACAAGAGCATTGGGAGTGGCAGACATACCTGTACAATGTTGATAGAGTAGGGGGAAGGGGGATTTGCTGGTAGCCCTGGAGAGAGACTGATCTAGTTTTAGGAAGAGGGCACTGTCATATGAGCTGCTTTAAATCCTGTCAGATTTAAACACATTCTTCCCCTGGTCATTGGCATTTTGGTTATTAAAAGAGCTCAGTGGATAACATGTGGGCAGAGTTAGAAAAATGGTGCATCGATCTGATGTAATATCCAGCATCAGGCAATGTCCTGTGCTTGTAAAGCCCATTCCAAGGAGGGCTGCAGCACTGCAGTGCCCACTTTTTTGGAGCCCAAACCCAGAGCTCACTGCTGAGCTCCATGCTCAGGACATGGGAAAGCTGATGGAAACACTCTGTACCTTGCCCAGGAGGAGCCCAGAGCCAGCCAGTGGGAAATGGTGAGCGCAGGGGTGCATCTGAAGTCCTGCCTCTCTGGGGACACCAAGGGGGGCTGGCGGGGCCACCTCCCTCCAGCGGGACCCAGAGCGCAACTCTGCTCCCCAGCATGGGGCCAGCAGACATTGCTCTGAGGGGCTCTTGCAGCTGAGTCCGCGGGGTGCTGGGGTGCCACGTGGTGTCCAGCGGCCCAGTGGCTATCGGTCCTGGCTGAGGAGGGGACAGAAAGGTCTTGGCAGCTCAGAGCCCGGGGTTAAGAAGACCGTGCAAGAAGAGCAAGGGATGGCTGAGGCCTCTCCCAGGATGGGACAGCTGGGGGCTTTCTCCCCTCAGGTTGGGGAGGGAGCTCTGGTCTCCCATTCCCAGAGAAGCTGTAATATCTGCACTGTAAAGGCAGCATCCTCTGGCAGCAGCAGATTAAGTATTAAATAGCTGGTGTTACTTTTCTGTGGGACCCTGCTCTCAGCAGTAGGTAGCAAGCCTTATGCAGCGCTGTCAGGCTAGGACAAAGCGCCCTCAAGATGTGCTAGGGGCTATATGAGGAATCTAGCTGAGGGGGCTGGGCTAGATCACCTCAGGTTGGGGACTGAAAATCTTTGACTTCCCAGTGGCCAATGACAAAGCCAGTCTTCCCAGTAGACCTCTCCTGGGTTTTTGCTGTTGTGTTGTCTAGGATGTGGACCCAGCTGTGTAACAGGCAGGAGTGAGGCACATGGACAGGCAGCTCTGGGCATGCAGTCAGCCAAGGGAACGTCTAGTTTGAAAGGAAAGAGGCCAGTAAGTTGAGGTGTCTCCAGGTGTGGACAGTCACTCAGCAGTGCTTTGGGGATTGAAGGTCAGCATGTCCCCATAAGCCAGTGTTAGAAACCTAATCTTTTTTTTAAAATGATCCAAATCTCAGAAAAGGGTTGTGAAGCAGGGCATAGCAATGAAGGAGAGGCTTTTATCCAGATGGCTTTTGAATATCTCCAGGGACAGATACTTCACAACAGCTCCGGGAAACCTGTGCCAGTGTTCAGTCACGCTCACAGTGAAAAAGTGTTTCCTGATTTTCAGAGGGAACCTCCTGTGTTTCAGTTTGTGCCCATTGCCTCTGGTCCTGTCACTGGACACCACTGAAAAGAGCCTGGCTCCATCCTCTTTGCACTCTCCCTTCAGGTATTTATATACATTGATGAGATCCCACTGAGCCTTCTCTTCTCCAGGCTCCCTCAGTTCCAGCTCTCTCAGCCTTTCCTCATGGGAGGATGCTCCAGTCCCTCAGTCATCTTAGTGGCCTTTGCTGGACTCTCTCCAGTATGACCATGTCTCTCTTGTACTGTGGAGCCCATAACTGAACAAGTACTCCAGGTGTGGCCTTACAAGTGCTGAGTCAAGGGGAAGGATCACCTCCCTTGACCTGCTAGCAACACTTCTAATGCAACCCAGGACACCGTTCACCTTCTTTGCAGCAAGGGCACATTGCTGGCTCATGTTCAACTTGGTGTCCATCTGGACCCCCAGGTCCTTTTTTGCAAAGCTGCTTTCCAGATGGTCAGCACCCAGCATATACTGGTGCATGGGGTTGCTCCTCCCCACGTGCAGGGCTTTGCACTTCCTTTGCACTATTGGACCCAGTATTGACCTCTGGGTTTTGCCTAACCAGTACTCAGTTGCACACTACCCTCAACATAGAAAACGCTTTATGTTAAATGGGCCCTAGAAATTGCAGAATCACAAAGACTTCGAGTTTTACTGCCACGTTTACCAGTATTGCTAATTGAGTTATCTAAATCATGTGTGAACTTCCATCTAAAGACCCTTTGTGACATTAAAGCAAAGCAACTAAAGCGCACAGGCACCTCTACATTCCCCCAGTAAACTCTA